TATTGTAAAAAAATTTAATCCTGATGATGCACAAAATGAGCGAAATTGATTGAATTAACATTTTAAATTTCTTATAACCACTTTTGTTAAATTCTAACCCTTTTTAGCGATAAGCTATAAGCAAAATGTTATATTCCTTTAAGGAAAACAGTCACTAACTCGATTTCTTTTTCTCTATTTCTACAGAATTTTACTACCGCTTTTTGTTCATAGTGTCAGTAGTGTTTGAGGTAAAATGGCGATGATTGTCGCTGCCAGTTCCCTTTATCACAGCCTGAAAAATCTTGAGCTAGAGGAACGGAAAGAGACCCAGCAGAAGGTCCACGCAGCCCCCGGCCTTTCTTTAAACCACAAAACCCTGAACAGGGGGGAAAATTACGAATTTTTTTGGAACAGCAACCTCTGGCCAGTAAGCAGATTATCCTCTGGCACGATGTGCTGAACTATTATACGCCCTGCCCACTAACAACTATACCCCCTGCCCACTTGCTGATCTAGACAAATAAAAGCCATTGTCTACTGCAAGAGAACGGGCACTCCCGATATTTTTAAGGATCTGTGGAAGACAGAGATTATCGTCATAAAGACAACCAGTAACCTTATCTCTAGAAGCAAGAGACAGAATAGTGCGGTCCTCAGAGAGTATCTCCAACTGTGTTGGCTGGGGACCTTCAGCCGGAGCCGAATGACCAATAAGTGGTAAGATATTGTTGAAGCTGTTTTTTCTTTGCTGAGAGCCACATGAGTTTAAGTGCTTGTTGCCTGCAAAGAAGAGATGACCGCAATTTTGCTGCCACCACCACTCCTTAGATTAGTCCTGAAAAGATAACTCACTTGGAAACTTGTGTTAGATTATTTGAAACATTTCAATAAATTTAATAGCAGTTTCCTGAGAATTAAATTTTTGAAAAAATGTCTCGATAACGACATTATACCTGATTTCTTACGGTTTTGCGTGCCTGATAACGGTGTTTTTTCGGATCGAGCGGTGCACAGCTTTCAATTGAGACTGTTGAGATCTGAGATAAGCCAGGCAAATGCGGATAGGGCCAAGGCATCGGGTAACCTAGCAAAAGCAAGGGAGGTAGTGAGAAGGGGTATAAATGAGAAATGGTGGCCTTCGGTAAAATTACATCGGAACCTGCAAGCAAGGTGTAGTGGCATTAACCTGATAAGCCGACAAAAAAAGCTTGAAAATCTTGCAGAAAGACAGGATAGACCATTAGAAAACTTGGATGAAAGGTCAGTTAGAATTTTAGATGAAATGATGAAAGGTCAGTTAGAATGTTAGATGAAATGATTTTGCCGCTTTGGGTGCGGGAAGTCTTGGGTTTTGGAACAAAACATCCGGTACGAGACAAATTTAATGAAATTTACTTCCTTGCGGACATTAACAGTTTGTTGTCTGAATTGAAGTTAAATAGATTACCCAAAGAAAAATTATGTGAGATTGAAGCAGCTGCAAAAAGATATGCTAAGAATGTGAAACAGACCCCCTCTGACAAAGGTGTTGAAAAAGCCAGAAAGTATTTGAAGGACAACGGTCTAGTGGCAGTGCCGTTTGATAAGGGCGTGGGTTTTTGCGTAATGAAAAAGGAGACATATGAGAAGAAACTGAAAGATTTATTATGAGCAGAACAATTTAGCGAGAAGAAGAATCTGACAGACAGCGTGATCATGAAAACTGAAAAAGACATAAGCAAAGAATTACTCGCCATGAAAAAGAAGGACGAGATTAGCGAAGCGCTGTTTACTAGGTTGACGGGGGCACAGCCGGCTAGGCTGTATGGATTAGCAAAAATACGGGGGCACAGCCGGCTAGCCTGTATGGATTAGCAAAAATACATAACAAGGTACATTAGTTCATCACGTCCTTTCTTTACCTGGTAGCTCGTATGACAACCTAAATAAAACATTGGCCAAATACTTTGATGAAATTGAGGGTGCAAACACAGAAACGAACACTCAAATGGCCAGAGAGATCTTGGAGAAAACTGAAGTGGACTCTGATGAGAGTATAGATTCACTTGATGTAAAGAGTTCGTACACCAATGTCCCGCTCAAGGAAGCGGTTGAAATAGCCCTGAGGAGATTATATGAGCAAGTCAACCCTCCGGAAACGCCTCGCATGACTATGAAAAAACTACTGGTTTTGGCAGTGAGTAAGGTACACTTCAAATGCAATGGTTTGTGGTATGTACAAAAAGACGGTTTAGCAATGGGCGCCTCCCTTGCAGTAATACTGGCCAATTTGTGGCTCAAAGAATACGAACCTGCATTCAACAAAGAAGTACCAAGATTGACTGTGCTAAATGAGGGTAACAAGGAGCTCTGCCCTGTCAGAAGAAGGTGACAAATCGGGCTAAAGGGGTAGAGTGCGAAGCTTGTTTGAGTTGGTACCACTTAGTGTGTGGTAACATATCGGAATTTGAAAACGCAGAAATCGCTGAAACAGTATGGTATTGCATTGCTTGCGGAAAACAACAGGAAGCAGATCGGGCTGAGAATGGTGTTAAAGCTTTTCTAAGATATGTGGACGACATAATTAGAAATGTCAATTGCAATCCTGGGTTAGTTCTCGAGGCTGCCAATAACTTGCATCCAAACTTGCAGTTCACCGTGAAAGAACTTGATAGTAACGGTAATTTGACCTTTTTGGATTTAAATGTCAACGTTGACTGAGAAAAAAAGGTCACTTGTGGGTGGTACCAGAAACCCACTGATACCGGCACCATTCTAAATTTCAGAGGTTGCGCACCTTTGCAGTACAAAAGAAACGTTATTGAAGGGACGGTTCATAGGGTTTTCAGAAGTACCTCAACAAGGGAAAATTTTGACCAGGCATTGAAAAAAATCGGAAACAAGGGATTGAAAAACAATATCCTTAAAATTGGTCGGACAAGGTAGTGTTTGAAACTCTGAACAAGATCATTGAGGGAAAGAAAAACTTAGAGGTGAAGGCATCAGAACCGAGAATGCTAAATGGTTAAAAGACTAACCCCCTTTTTTACAATGCAATATCGAGGCAATCCATTTCAACTGTTAGCTGCAAAATTTCGGCAACAATCCCGGGAACAGATAAGTTTCACAACAAGAAAATTGAAAACATGCCTGCGATCGCTCAAATTCTTCTTTGCTCGTGAATTGAGATCCAAAGTCGTGTATTAGCTTACATGTAGTGCATGTAACTCTACCTATGTCGCCCAGACAGACCGACATTGAGCCACGAGGGTCGATTAACACCGCAAAGGGGACTCCCCAGTAGGGCAACACTTGTTAGAGTGTAATAAGGAGGTAGGCGGTACTGCTGAGCTGAAGTCAGAGATTATAGATCAAACAGCCAACACTCATCAGCTACTCACACTAGAAGCTTGCATATTTGGAGGGAGAGGCCGAGGATCAACACACGAGATGAATTCAGGAGCCGGGAATTAACACTGAAATTATAGTCTCTGTATAACATGGCTAAAAGTTAAAAAACTGATGTGTCAGAATCAAAAATAATCCCAAATCGAATTTTTATAACCATGACAGAACTAAAAGCTAAAAAGGAATATCAGAAATTTACAGGAAAACGGTATTATTGATTACGTAATTTATTATGTAATTATTATGTGAATTATTGTAAATAACATTAGTAAATTCATGTTTTTATCTACATTTGGATTAGTTTATTGTAAAAATCCTGACGATGCACATAGTTGCAAAAACGTTTGAAATTTACTTTTCATCAAAAATTTCTATGTAATTACAGTTGTTTAAATTTGATTGGTCAAAAAGTTTTAAAGCATTTTTAGACATGTTTCTAATTTCTCAGATCTTTGATCGTTTTGTATATATTGTAAAAAATTTTAATCCCGATGATGCACAAAATGTTCGAAAATCTTTGAATTAACATTTTAAATTTCTTATGAATATCGATCATCGTTCTTCTGAATTTCGCGGTTTTTTAGTTGTCGCGAAAATCCAAGGTCGCGACGTGTCTTTATTTTCGAACGAATTTGTAAAATTTAATTCGTCGGTCCAGATTAACCTCTCCGTATTCGTTCAATTGAACGATTAACACCACTAATCATCTGAAACAGTCAATTTTTGCTCCAATCTGCTCCAGAAGAAGAAGAAAGAACACCTGAATTACTATACAATAAAAGCCGAGGCATCAGTATAGCAAAGTGTAAATAATAAATTCTAATATCAATTATGACAACAGATATAAATTCGTTTCTGACATGCAGTTCAAGCCATTCTGGTCGAATGTCACAAATAAAATTGACTCTAATTTTGGTTTCTGACCTAGTTTTTGGTGTTACAACCGCGTTGTCCGCGGCTTCAAGACTTAGCTATGTTTGTTATCATATGAATATTGTCGAAACTAAGAAAGATTCGTCCGGCTGAGGGTCTCAAAGTCGAAACACGTTTGTTGACACCTCAACACGTTCGTTGACACCAGGTCGAGATAATGCAAAAACACCGAGTTAAAGTATCTGACGTGAACAAGTCATTAATAAGGAATTTCTCTACTTTCCGTCGCTGTGTAATTCTTAGGCAAATTTTACAATTGAAAAAAGTTTTTCTTTTTCAACCACTAAATTTTAGCAAAAAAAAAATATAAAAAGTATTTATCAAAATTTTTTCCAGTGCGTTTTTCTTTTTTTTTGAAGAAAGGTTGTCGAATTCGTTATCTTACTTCTACTTTCGAATTTGCTTATGTCTTATTTTTCAACACGCAGCTAATAAAAAAATCCTAAGGTTTTGCAAATAAAATAATATAATTTTTTATAGCTTTTTTGCTGTGGTCAGAACTTTGTGTTTTGCTTACTGCAACCGCCCATCCTGTTTTTTTTATTGCAGATGATGTGAAGCTCCGCTTTGCTTCTCAGTATCTTAATTTTTTAAAATCTTTATTGTAAGTTCACAGTCATCTTCCATTTTTATGACATTGATTTGCCCAACCTTTGATCAGTCTTTTTTTGTTTGAAACAATGTTGTGTTTCAGATTTTCAAGATGTAAAAAAACATGAGATTGCACTGACCGACATATACTTCTTTTAAAGTTTTAAGACCTTTAAAGTTCAGCCGGTGGTTTTCCGTGTAATTGATTTTTTCCTGTACAGAGCTAGGCTTATTCACGTATACGAGGTAGTGTACGAGGTTCCTGTTCTAGTTATCAAAACAGTAAACTCGAATCGTCAAAAGAATGGATTAAATCTCAGCAGAACTCGAAGATGGAGCAGGAAGAATCAAAGAAGCCACCGAGTACTCTGGAAATCAGTCCAAGCGGAGACGGCGATAACCCCATGGCGGCGTCTCCTATTGCTGGGTCAAGTTTTGGACAACCATTGAATGCAGAACGCGTGCGTCAGGCGGTCAGCAATACCATTTTGGAATCACCGTTATCCTCAGACGACTTTGTCAAAGACGATCCTTTTGCTATTGAGACACTTGAGGTAAGTGAAGATTGATGTTGGTCTTTGAAATCAAATTCTCATCAGTTTGAGAGAGAGTTTCTTAAAATAAATTGTATCAGTTTTGTTAAACTGCTGAGACCGATATATTTACGCGTGAGACATTTTTCTTTCAAGTTAACAACTAGTTTAGTAAAATCAATTGAATCATTTATGATGCTAATGACATGCTCAGTTTTTTAAACTTCTAAGTTAATTTACTTGATACTACTAGCAGTGATGTTTATTTAAAAAAAATAGAAATTAAAGTTTTAATAAAATTGATCATGAAAATCATATGAAATTTTTGGCATCAATTTAAATTATTCCAGAACTATTTGAATGTTTCTTCAGCAATTTAAAATTTTGTGAAGTCTTTTTTAAAGCTGTTTTACTGCCAATTTCGGGTATTTTTCACAATTTAGAAAAAAGAAATCAAAAGCAACTTTTTTGGCCATATATATTGGCATCAAAAAAATTATCAAATTTGTGGTGAAGATTCAGGTTGTTTGATTTTCCGCGGAAAGGTGAAATCAATAGACATATGTAAGCTGTACTTTGGCGTCGGATAGAATTTCGCTGGTGCAATTTATTTATTTATTTTTTCAGTTTAACTTGCTCGATTCAAATTAAAGTTTTCATTTCATTTGAGCGGACTCGCAATATTTAATTTTAAGAACCCTGCATACAGTTTTGCTGATATATATGCATTTTTATATCGCGGGTATGGCCCTATCCAGCTTGTGCACTTACCGTAACTAAACGGAAGGTCCTCTTTTGTAATTTAGTCTTTTTTTGAATTTAAAGAAAAATGAAATTCTAATTTAGTTTAATTTCAAATAGACATCACTGTTACTTCTACTGATTGTATGTTGTAACCATTCTATGTTTAGTTAGAGTTTTGTTATTATTTTTCTACTGATTTTTGGCTTTATGGTTGTCGACTTAAGATCTGTCGTTTAGTTTCCGAATTATGTATTCAACTTGCGCTATTCGTATAATTATCGTTGATCCTATGTGCGCGATACATGCAGTTTTTTCCAATATGAATTTTTTCCAAAAAAATTGCTTATTGGCTGTCGGCTTTAATTCTGTCGTCTTATCGACCTAATGTTTTTTTTACAAAGTTCCGGTAGTACTTCTGAGATTTATAATGGCACCATATTTTGAATACTCAAAGTCAACCCCACTGGGACCTTTTGAAAAACTGCAAGAACGTGAATTTTTTTTCTCCAGTTTCTTCAAGTCTACTGTGCTGATTTAAATTATCCGGACAAAACGAACAAAACTTGAACTTCAAACGCGTTTTTCTCAAATTGGGTTAAGATTAGACAAAAAGTGAAGAGAAAAAAAGTTGCTTAGAATATCACCAGAATTAATATGGTGCCATTTTTTCTCCGAAATTCTTAACACACATTTTACCCCAAAAATGGGTCATTTTGGCTTTTTTCAATTAATCAAGAATTACACTGAAACTACTTGGTTAATTGATAAGAAAATTATATCACAGGAAGCCTCTTACGCAGTTCAACAAAGTTTCAGCAGGGTTAAATCTCCAAAAACCAGTATAAGAGAAAAAATTTTCACTTGATAGTCAATAAATGTGATTTTTACTATATAAAACCCAGAATCTCTGTTTAAAAACAAATTTTAAACAATTTGCGCAAATTTTTGGAGATTTAACCCTGCTTAAACTTTGTTGAACTGCGTAAGAGGCTTCCTGTGATATAATTTTCTTATCAATTAACCAAGTAGTTTCAGCGTAATTCTTGATTAATTGAAAAAATCCAAAATGACCCATTTTTGGGGTAAAATGTTTGTTAAGAATTTCGGAGAAAAAATGGCACCATATTAATTCTGGTGAAATTCTAAGCAACTTTTGATCTCTTCACTTTTTGTCTAATCTTAACCGAATTTGAGAAAAACGCGTTTGAAAGTTCAAGTTTTGTTCGTTTTGTCCGGATAATTTAAATCAGCACTGTATAGTCTAACATAGAGTTTTTTGTTAATTTTTGAGTGTCATTGCATTTTCAGCTTACAATCGTTGTATTGCAAGTGGTGTTTTTTCTCTATTTGCCATCTGAAATTTTTGAACCTAGAAAAATAATGAAGTCTTTTACGGACTGCTTGAATAGACTTTCCTTCTTATACTATTTTGATTTCATTGTTGAAGTAGTTTTTGGAAGGGTTTGATAAGTAATAGAAGCTAATTTTAAAAAAATATTATGTCAAAGGGAATTAAATGATATCTTCAATATTACCGCAAAAATCATGACTTCTGAAAAACTGCTTTTTTAAGGAATTTTTGCAATTTAAGCACGGATAGATTACGTCTAGAAATTTGCTATTTGTCTTCTGCAAGCTTAGTAAGAAGAGGTGTTAAAAGTAAACTGATATAAAGAGTTGTAATTTTGCTGCATTCTGATTGGTCGAAAAATCGGCCAACTTAATCTGCTTGATTATCTGCCCCCTTTCTTGAAAGGGTAGGGGATTTTTATAAAGATCCGATATCGTTTTGAATGATCAATTTTGTTTTGATATTGTCATATTGAATTTTGTATCACGATTTACTGTTTCTCTCTTTTCCGATAGTGCATTTAGCGATAAACGGATTATTGAAGCAATCATACCAGATCTATAATACTTTAAATATGGTTCGCAATCTACTTAGACTAAATTTTTATGTTTGTTTTTAGTTGTGCAGTCGGTTTTTCCGTCAGACGTCACGACCCAGTCTTCGAAAAAAACGGTTAAAAAGGCATAAAACTTCGGATTCAGTGCCCAGTCCAGCATCCAGTAGAAAAACAAGCGTAGATGAAGAGTCAGTGAAGCAGGCGCGAGATAGACTGCTCAAATTCAGTCGAGAGCTGGATAATTTGAAGTCAAGGCCAGCGAGAGAAATAATTGCGCATGCGAAGCAATCATCAGATACTTCAGGCAATGTAAGTACATTCTGCGTTAATTTTAAAATACAATTTGTTCTCGGGTATTTAAGTTCCCAAACAATCTAATCTGTTTAGATTGATTTTTCAAGTGCCATGAATGTAGTGAATTTTTTTATATAAGTGGTGATTTTTTTAAGGAAAATGTCTTAAATTTTGTCTTACTATTTGATTTAAAAATTTGTCTTGAAGTTTGATTTATCGCGGTTTGACTTTAGATCTTCCATTCAATTTTTTTGTTAAAAGGAATAAAAATCCACTATTGAGCAGCAAAAGTGTTAAGGTCACGAAAAACGTGATCGACTTCTAGTTTCATATGTTAAATTTAATTGAAGTTTGAAGTTTTAAAAAAAAACAATTCAGTATTCTTAAACATTATTTCTTGCGTATATGACTTTTTCCAACTATGATGGCTTTGTTTTTACTATATGCCGAGTTTTGAATCAGACTTTCGATACGAAAGTAACGGAATATTTGTGCTCGGGGTGGGTTTTTTTTCTTCAGACAAAATTCGACTTTTTAACTAGCCATTTTTGACGGAAATTTTTTGTACCATTCAAAAAAGTATTCTTGTCCTGAGCGTAAATTTGTAAAGATATTTCTCCTGTGAGCAGTTTTCGTTAAGTTATGGGGGTTTGAAGATTGCCATTTTGGCCAATTTGGGACAATTAACGCGCGATATATTTCGAGCTCTTAACGCGTAAGCGGAGATTTAATACGTCCTAGAAATCGTTCCAAATTGGTTGAAAGAAGCTTATTGGCCATAATTGATTTGTTACAAGGAGAGAAATCTGTTCTTTTGTACTCTATATCTCTATATGACGTGTGGGGGATGATTTTTGCAAAAAAAATCTCAAATTAAAAAAAATTTCATGTTGTTTATTACATTTAGTTTTTTTAAATGTTATTACTGCTCCATAATCTTTAAAAGGCAGTCGGAACATTCAGGGTTTCGCCCTGATACGAGCAGTCCTGTTGGTTTTGAAGATCTAAGTTGACGAACTTTTATGCTTTGAACACTAATTAGATACTACTCCAGCAGTTTTGTACCTTACTTCCCCATTGGGAGCAAAAAAAACAATGGCAATAGCCGTTTGCTGGGCAAATGGCACAGAATATCGCGAACAAAAAAATTTGAAAAAATTAATTTATCGAAAACTAAAGTTTTTGAAATAAAAAACATTTTTTTTCAAGGTCCCAAGCTGCAGATTAAGAGTAAAAATAGCTTAAATAAGGTGAAAATTGAATTGGAATATAATTGATACTTCAGTGTCAATAGTAAATTTTGTATCATTTAGTCTGATAAACGGAAATATTCTCGTGATACGTTAAAAATATTGAATCCGAACCACGACTAAAAAGGTTTAAATTTGATACCACCTTAGGTTTTCTGAAGGCAGTCAAAATTGGGCGGGAACAAAATCTTAGCTAAATTATAGTTCCTTCAGGACACATTGAGTGTCGCGGTGAGTAAAAAATAATGAAGGTTATTGACTATACAGTACCAGGTTTTTACTTTATAATTTTCCCTTTTGCGTTTTAAGTGATAACTGTTTACCATTTAGTTTGCTAAGTGCCTATTCATATTGCATAAACACATCTCAACTACACATTGTCGATTTGACCGATAGTCCTAAATGATTCGACCTGGTCTCTTCGGCCGAAATGGAACAGCCTCAGAGTTTAAAACTTGTTTTTGTCGGAGGTCTTTCAGAAAAGGAGACTTAATTCTCAACATACTCTTTTCCCAGTTTGTGTTGTATGAAGATATAGCGTGCTATGGAAACTGCATGGATCTTAGCAGTGAGGTATGTTTCTTCAATGAGTCACTGATAAAGTTCCCATAATTTTAGACTTCTCAATTGAATACATTACGCGGGAATACTAGATTCAATTCTGGATCTAGCAACGAGAATCGAGGCATCGTGGTTAATCATTCTCGGGCCAAATCAGATCCTACTGTTCACAACCGAGTCAATGATCCTAAGTTAGAACGGGCGATAGGAAACGACGGAACCAGTAACCCTGTTGCTGTATCCGACAGTAAAGGGACCAGTGTAAGGAAAACTGGTGCTAGCATAAAACCCCCGGATATACGAAGAGTGCAGTCGACGGCAACTGTCAATCACCACTCGATCACGAGGCCTCCGCGCACGACTGAATCTAACAATACGACAGGATTCCGATTTAATGGCTCAAGGACATCAGTTCAGTCAGATGACAATAAAATTGTGGTTGGTTTCAATATGAGGTTCCCATTCTTAAATTTGGCCGGGCTGGTTAAAAGGTTCACTATGGTATAATTATTTTTAAACTTGTTAGTTTAAGCAGGGGCGGATCTAGGATTTTCTCGAGGGGGGGACGGATTTTCAAAAAATCAGGGATTCGAACTCCTGCCTTTGGGTCGGCAGGAGTTCGAATCCCTGAGGGGGGGGGGGGGGAGGGGGCGTCCGACCCCTCCCCCCCCCCCCCCCCCTCCCCCCTAAATTCGCCCCTGAGTTTAAGCGCTATTTTTGATTGATTAAAAGGGGCCAAAATGACCCTCTATTGGGGTCTCAAAGTTTGGGTTCTAGTTTTGCAAAATATAGTGCACTTTAGTTCCGGCAAAATTGTAAGCGAATTTTTGTCCAATTTCAATCCAATTTGGGTGATTTGCTTTCAAAGTTGGCAATTTCTTGTGTTTTTCCCGATGATTAAACCAGCCATGTACTTCTGGAGAATATTATTTTTTATGGTATTTTAGAAAAGCTTGAAGAAATGGTTCAAAGAAAAGTTCAAAGACAAGAACGGAGAGAAAAAGAAAGAGCGTAGCGTGGAAAAAGCGAAAAAGACGAAAGTTAAGACGTATTCGGGAAATATCTCGCAAACTTCGAACTTAGAAGCTGGCCATGGTCATATAAGTCAGGCGGACGGAGGAGGAGAAAGTGGAGGGGGATCCCAGCCATCAAGTCTGACCAGACAGAATTCTCTATCAGCCAAACTCAGGTTTCATTATTGTTTTTTTTTTTAAATTTTCCGCCGAAAAAAATATCGATCAGAGTGACTCAACGAATGAACAAAAGTATGAGGACGATCAAATTTGAACAAATGTCTTACCGTTTTAACCTTGTCTGGTTTTTGTCACTAGTAAAGGCTCTCCAAAAGCCCCATAAGAGTCGAGAAATAAAATATTTCTGATTCAGTGTAAAAAATTGACCGTTCATTTGATGTCTCGACTATTTTCCACTTCCCCTCCTCCCACATTTGACTTTCAGTTTTGAAAAACGAACTTTACTTTGTCAAAATGTAGCGAAAATTTACACGATGAACAAACTAACTATTGTAAAAAAAACTTTGTTCTTGATACCTTTCATCGTAAAATCACACATTCAGCCGTAAAAACACAAGACAATTAAAAAAAAATCGAAAATTTGAAGTGTGTGAGGGAAAGTGGAAAAGAGCAGGTTTCTTTGAGCCTGTAGGCGATGTTTAAGATTCGATGAACAAAGTTCAGACGCTTTTATTGGTCGTGATGATTTTTTTTCAGGAAAAGTCTTGAAATTTGTTCAGGCTCACTTAAGCTTTTTAGCGGTTTAGGTTTTCGTTTCTTTGTCCATTCAGTTCATTTTTTTGTTAATTCCTTTGTTGAACACCTAAAGTGTAAAGGTCACAAAAACGTGATCGACTTCTAGTTTCGAAATTGAAATTTAATTTTCAGATTTCTCAGCGAAATAATAAATTTAACTATTGAGCCAGTTTTCTGAAATTAGGTTGATTTTATCAAAAAATTGTTAGTCATGAATTGTTCTAGAAATTCAAATAGCTTTAAGGTTTTCTTTTTTCCTTTAAATTCGAAAGAAGTTTTTTCATAAACTAAGTCATTAATTTTTTTCTGTTTACTTGTGTTCATTTCTTTGTCCATTCAGCTCATTTCTTTTGTTAATTCCTTTGTTGAACAGCAAAAATGTAAAGGTCACAAAAACGTGATCGACTTCTAGTTTCGACATTGAAATTTAGTTTTCAGATTTCTCAGCGAAATAAAAAATTTAACTATTGAGCCAGTTTTCTGAAATTAGGTTGATTTTATCAAAAAATTGTTAGTCATGAATTGTTCTAGAAATTCAAATAGCTTTAAGGTTATTTTTTTTCCTTTAATTTCGAAAAGTTTTTTCATAAAATATGTCATTAATTTTTTTCTGTTTACTTGCGTTCATTGACTTTTCCAACTCATTTGTTATTATCTATGCGACACCATTCACATTCAAGTGCCACAAGTCAGTCACAGCCCTTGCTAGTTTTTGTCGATATATGTTTTTATTTGAAGATATCCAGTCGAATTTTTCGGTTTTCTTAATCTTTTATACGTCTAACCGTCTGTTGGCTATGTTTTTACCCTTACCATTAGCAATGGTGTTGCAACTGAGTATAAGACTTTTTCTCCGTTTTCAACTTTGCTAACTGAAATAACAAGTGAAAATTTTAGTGGTTTTCCTTGCTTCATAAATTCAAATACAATCTATCATCCAAAGAATCTGGCGTAGAAGTAACGCGCCTGTTTGATACGGTAAAAGTTTGTGGTTCGAATCTTGCCGGGACCGTTTTGTTCAAACAACAGTTTTTCTGCTTTTTTTTCGGATTATCTGTTTTTTTACGCGAGCGTAATTTAGTGCGTGCGATAGTACGATGCAATTTTTTTTCCAACCTAAGTCGCAAATAAAAGTGCTAAGTTTGGTAGCGCTTTTGAATTGATAGGCTGCATTAGCAGTATATTCACACTTGCTTTGACATTTGATTAGTTATGATTTAACCCAGTTGGTCCTTTTTTATCAATTGAAAGGAAAAAAGCGGTTATCTCCATACAACAGTATAATGATTAAAATCTCATTTCTGAAATTTTCCAACTGGATATACTTCGCGAGGTGTTTGAAATTCCTAGTTTATACACAGTTTAGTTTTAGCCAATCTTTTTTATTAAATGCATAGTTAGTGTGGTTACATTTAGTGTATTTTATTACGAATTTTGATGTGCAAAATTGAGGTATTGTGCTTTTCAAAGCTGCCGCATCTTTGCTGTTTCTCGCTCGTGTTTCTAAAGTTGCAGCTTCGCCTCTATTTTTTGCGGGCTTAGTTCCCATAGCACGACTTTTTTTCGAAGTTTCAGCTTTCTTCGAAGTTGCTGTAAATCTTATGCTAGAGACGACAAAGCCTGGAAGTTTGATTCCAGTCGGGACCTGTGTTTTTTAGCAAATTCAAAATTTTCGGGCATTTTAGTGTAGTCTTATTTTTGTGGGCTTATTTCCCCTAGAAAGGATTTTGCTTGACGAGCTTTAAGCGTCGGTGGCCGAGAGGAAAGGACGTGAGTCTCGAAATCTCGACATCTCTGGTTTGAATCTGACACGTAGCAAAAGTTTTACTATTTCGAGGCTGATTTCTACTTACTTTACTTCGAAGAACTGCTTTTTGTCGTTTTCTCGCTATTGTTTGCGAAGCGCAGCTTTGCCTGTGTTTAATGTTTATTGTTGTGAATGTTTTTTTTTGGCTCAAAGTTTTTTTGTTCAAGTGTTGTCGGCTTTGTTTCCTCTTTTTTACACAAGCAAAGCTTGTGTGATATTACGAACTCTCTTTTTTTCCAACCTAAGTCGCAAATATTAGTGCTCGTTTTGAAAGTGCTCCTTTTTTGTAGTATATGCATAAGATCAATAACCAGCGATTTTGTACAGCAAATGCTAAGGATTTTAACACTCACTATTGTAATACAAATAGCACTTTAGCTTCAAGGTGTTATGGTTCTGTAGCGTAGAGGTAGGGTAGGAGACTCGCAACAAAATAAGAAGGTTCGAACCTGGGCAGGGTCGGATGTTTTTAATGAACTTTTTTTATATACTAATTAAAATGCGTCCGCTCTATAAATTGAGGTATGTTAGTTTTTTTTTCAAATTGAGTTGGGCTCTTTTCCAGTTCCCCCCTTTCATTTTTTCTGAAATTCATTACGTGAAAGTCTTTTTAAAATAATTTTTAATGTTATAAACTGCATTAAAACGTGTCAGCGTGAACAGCTGAACAAATTTTCATAACATTTCTAACATGCAAATTGCCGTGTGAACAATTTTTGAACATCTCTGTTTTGTAATTTAACAAGGGGGGGGGGGGGGAACTGGAAAAGAGCCTTGAGTTGTACTGTTAATGCGTCATAATTGGCTTCCGTCACTTAGCAATTATGTAGACTCATAAATGGCGTGCGTCACTTAAGAAACTTTGTAGACTCAAAGTTTTACTCATTCAGTTTTTCCCAGTAGCGTTATTGCTCATGTTTTTGCTTGTGTATGCGAAGTGCAACTTCGTCTCTGTGTCTAAATGTTGTTCCACGGAGGAGCGTTGTCTTTGGTTTTGTTGTCTTTTTTCTAAATTTTTTCCTATGCAAAACAGATAATAAATACTCATCGAAATGTTTTGTGCGATGTATCATATAAAAGCCCTTTCAGTCGTGATTCGAACGACATTTAAAATTTCTACAACGTTTTCCAGTGTCAAGAACAAACAGTTTGGAATTTTTGCTTCAAATCTATGTTCGAGCAGTTATTTAAGCTATGAAAAAATTTGTAGTATCAACGGAAAAATAGGCTTTGAAGATCAGTGTGTAAGAATGTTTTTTGTGTTGTTTAAAAGTTTTTTAAAAATCTGTAATAAACGTTGGTGGAACATCCTGTGCACAGAAATCGGTTGCTCTTGTCTTGAGTAGTTTTGTATTGGCAGGGATAAGCTGCACTTTTCCTCCAATATCTTCAATGGTAGTGTTAATCGAGGTGACCCCGGATACGAAGCTGACACAGACAGGGAGTTGCAGCAGAGCAAAGACGGTATGTATCACCAAAATCTTAATCAGGATTACAATTGGAACTGTCCGTATAAATGTTTCTTTTAAGAGGCTGTATTTTCTTGTGTTTTTTTTCTATTGATGCAGAAAATGAAAGATTGTCGAATCCATCATGTAAGTTGGCTAAATGCTGCAAATAAATGAAGTTATCATAATAAGTTGAAAATCAAACTATATACTGTCATTCAAATATACACCAAACCCATGTTTTAAGCTTTTTGCTGCAATTTGAGACAAATTGAAAAAAATAGATGTTTCGTTTTTACAGTGGGAAATTGTTATTCAAGCAGCTTGCACTGAGCGAACGGTGCTCAAGTAACTTCACTAGCTTATTCTGACTTTTAATATAAATAATCAAAGCAATTTTTTTATTAGTATTTGTAATCTGGAACTTGAAAAAATAAACTAGACAAGTAATGAACGTAGTGAAGCCCTTTTATAAGTCTTGGCGATTTTTTTGTTTTGTTTACCGGAAGAAGTTTTCTCGTGGTTTGACTTTTATTTTGAAGTTCAGTTAGTTTTCATTGTTTGAACTAGCGCACTTGCGAGCGTTATTGTTTTAGTACGAACCTTCTATTTTTCTAACCTAACTCGCAAATAAACGTGTTCCTTTATTTCACTTATGCTACAATCACAATCTGTACCAATGGAAATTTCATCTTATCTTCTCTCTACTTTATTTGTGGCTAGTGTTTATGATTTATTGAGCGTCCGTGGCTGAGTGGTTAGTGTGAGAGTTTCATAATATCTAGGTCTGAGGATCGATTCCGACACATAGCTGAATCTATTATATATTTAAATGCGGGCATCACTATCTCGCCATGTTTAAGCATTTTCAACTTATTATTTTTGCATGTTCAACGAAAGAATTTTTTCATATTTAAGCTATATCGTATATTGCAATGGTTAAGATTTTTTTGCGATTTTCCAGTTTTTTCACCAAGTTTTAATTTAATAACCCATTAGTGGAGTACTGTCAGGCTTCTTCTGGGGTATCGGTTTTTGCCTCCAATTATGAATACCCAAATACTTTTAGTTTATGAGATGCGACAATTTTTGGGGGACTTTTTCAAAAAAATTCAGAAAAGTTGCGTTTCAAAAGTTCACAACATGTGATAGTCTCAACCCTGTAGTTGGGAGCTGACAGGGAATTCTCAGGATTGCGAATCTTGCCTCCAAATATGACTGCTCAAATCGCTGTAGTTTTCAAGATATGACGTTTTTTTTGGATTTATTTTTAAATTTTCATAAAAATTAGATTTAAACAAAATCAAAAGATTTGAAAATCCCAACCTGAACTTGGTTGCTGTCAGCGTACTCCCAGGAATTGTGAATTTTGGCTCCAAATATGATTGCTCAAAACCTTGTAGTTTTCGAGATTTGACGTTTTGGGTGATTTTTTTCTCCTAAATTTGAATTTCACAACCCTGTAGTTGGGGGCTGTCACAGTACGCTCAAGGTCTCAGGGGTTGCGAATCTTGCCTTCAAATGTGGTTGCTCAAGTCATTGTAGTTTTCCTGATAGGACGTTTTTTTTATTTTCTCCAAAAAATTTTCAGAAACTTGAATTTATTTTTCTTCTTTTTTTGAAGTTCCTAACACCCTGTATTTGGGGTCTATCATAGTACTTTCAGGGGTTGCGAATCATGCCTCCAATTGTGGCTGCTCAAAGTTTTTTTTTTCGAGATATGGCGTTTTTTTTGGTTTTTTCAAAAAAGGTTTTTTTCTAGAAAACTTAATTTTGAAGTTTCTCAAAGTTTGAAATTCCCAACGCTGTAGTTTACTGTTAGAGCTCTCTCAGCAGTTGCAAATCTAACGTCCAAAATGCGACTGCCCAATTGGTATTAGATTCCGAGATTTGATGTTTCTTATTTAATTTTAAATTTTTTCAAAGAACTTTGATATAAAAAACTTTATGGTTTTTAAAAATCCGAATTAAAAAAAATTTGAATAAATTTTTTTAAACAAAATTTGAAGTTACCAACCCAGTAACTCGGTGCTGTCAGAGTACACTCGAAAGATGCAGATTTTTTTTTTCAAATATTAACGGTTTTTCATGAGATTTTCAAAATTCGATGCACCGGTGTTGCGGTACACGCTAGTTTTTATGAATTCGAGGCATATTTCTACTTTTTTTATTTTGCACTTTATAGAGCTACTTTTTTCGTGTACTCGCTAGTGTTTGCGAAGCGAAGCTTCGCCTCTGTAAAAAGAAGGCAAACGCCACTATCGAACTTCAAAATTGCAAAGGTCTTGAAAAAGATGATGGACTTTTAGTTTCGAAGGTGAGTTTTAATATTCAGATTTCCCAGTGGAATTAAAATTTATCTTAGATCCAGTTTTCTCAAGTTTGGTTTATTTTATCAAAAATTTTGAAAGATGAAAAGTTCGTCAGTTTTTTCCTGTTTCATTGTGTTCATAACTCTTTTCTAACTGTCAGTTGGCTATGTTTTTACAAATCTGTGAAAATTGAAGTTGCTTTATAAGTTGCTTCCCATGTGGCTGAGAAATAACGCGCTTGCCTCTGCACTCCAAGGTCTGCAGTATGAGTATTGGCCGAACTGGATATTTTTTTCCGGGAAAAATTTAGTTGTCGACTTTCATTTGTCTGCTGTTTTGTCCTCTTAGTCATCGTGGAGTTTTTTTGTGCTGCCGGCAGTTTTTATTGTAGATTCAAGTGTTTTTGATCCACTCCTGCCATTTGTAGATTTATTAGCCATGACTTTGTATATTTTCGTTTTTTGTTTTTTCGATTGAAATCTTTAGTCGGCATAAATGGTTTCAGGTTATGTTTTATAGGCTTAGTGCTCTGGGCTTCAAGGGCAATAAATCATTGATTTTGATTTTGTAATTTAAGGTAGTTAGTTGCAAAATCAAAGTTTGAAAACTAAATTGCTCAGTTTTTTTGACATTTCTTTATGGATTTTCTTTGCTTTCGGCTCAATGGACGTCTACTTATGTTTTGTCAGCATATTGATTGCTGGGTAAAAACTTGAACAAATTTGATGCTTTTTGATTTGTATTCGTGACTGTTTTCTGTAATTATTTTTTTTCTCAAACCTTTTTCTTGGATTTTGTCATTTCCATCGCCTCTCTGTACACTAATTGAGGGGGGCTACGCATTCATATTTTTGCAAAGAACGTTTTATTGATAGCCTCTCAAAGCCAAAAAGGATGTATAGATAAAATATGATTATGCTGATGTTCAGAAGCGAAGACGAAGCGCCTGAAGAAGCGGTCTGAGCTGGACAGTTCACGCGAACCGTCCTTCTCGCAACATGACGAGAATGAACGAGCTGGAACATCAGCTGGCGGAGGTGTGGCAGGTAGTCTACCACAATCGATGAGTCTGCAAGGTTTTGGAGCAAACAACAACTTGAGAAGACCGATTTACGTGAGATCAATTTCCTGTGCTTGCCTTCAGCCGGATAACAGCATGTAGTTCTTGATCATAGTTACAAAGGACGTTGGCTATAAAAAACTGAACATATTGAATAATGAGCTGAACATCTCAGCCTAATCTCAATGCTTGTTGGGGATTGATGGTCTTAAGCAACTTAGATTGTATTTAGGCCAACCAAGATCTGTTGCAACTTAGATTGTATTTAGGCCAACCAAGATACCAGTGGAATGCAGCCAAACATGGGGAACAGCAACGTCAACCACCGTCTCAGTGTACCTGGGATCCCCAGCGAGTACGATGACGTGTTCTTGTCGTCGGGGGAGAACAGAAGTGGAGCGAACTCGATGACTAATGTGTTGGCGTTGTCAGAAGATGCTCATGCTCCCATTGCTAGGATGGATTCTGCAATGGATGAAGACGTAGTGACCCAACCGGGATCAACAGGTAGAAACAAAAAGTTCATTATTATTTTGCCCAGGGGTGAAATAAGAGGGGGGGGGTGGATTAGAAGAAGACCAGGCTCCTCCGGAAAATTTGTATATATATTTTTTGTGATTTGACCGTGGTTTGACTTTTGACTCAAACTCAAGTTCTCTTCAAATTCGTTTGTTAAAGAGAAGGAAAATTGCGCTATCCCTTAAAAATTGTGCAAATGCTGCATAAAAACGAGATTGAGTTTCTGTTTTAAGTGTGGGTAATAGTTCTCAGAATCATAAGCGGAATGAAAAACTACCCATTGATCCACTTTTCTCAAATAGGGTTAGTTGTATCAAGATGGTTTCAATTTTGAAAGATTTTTGAATTTGAAAGATATTACGATGACAAGTTGTTCTTGGAAACTTTAAACTTGAAAAATCTCCAGTAAAAAATTTGACCTTTTTTTCGTTTGTCTGAGCCTCTATGCTATAATTTTTTTAGAGCCAATCCATTCTAATGCAAGTGCCACACTTCAGCCACAGCCCTCTGCAGCTTCTGTAGATCCAAGTCCAAGACCCTCAAATAGTGGAGACAAATTTGATTGGATGGTTGACAGGCTCATCACAATATCCAGCCAGCCAGATGTGGCGAAGATTGTCGAAACAGTTCCAGTTTTTCAAAGTTAGTCGACTAATTTGACCAATTTCAAATCACACAGCTTGCCGGTTATGATTATTGCCACAGCTCATTAATAAGACGGCAGCAAAGATAAAAGCCAAAATATAAAACAAAAAAGAAAAGATCATTTATTTAAACAAATGACTGAAGCATTATATTACGAATCCACATTTTTTTTCGATCGCAGCTGGCAGTTCGATTCCGGCAATTATGGTTTTTTTCTTGGCTTAGTTTTTCTTTTTTTTGCTTGTTTGCACTACCGAGCGTAGTGTAGTAGTAAGACTTTTTGTTCCGACGATTGAAATGGGGAGGAACTTTGTATTCGTGTGCGTTCTAGTTTTTTTTTGCTTTTTGTTTTCCACGCAAAAACAGGTACCACAAATAATGATCGGACTGGGTTGAGTGATATATCATATTAAAGCCCTTACAGTCGTGATTTAAACCACAGTCGTGATTTGAAAAAGTTTTCCCAGTGTCGAAAAAAAACCGGTTTGAAATTGTTTTATTTTTCGTCTTTTTTCGAGCGAATAAAGCGAGCGAGCAGTCTTATTATTGCTTGAAAGTTTACAATAGCTTAATATAAAACGTAAAAACTTAGTTATAATTGGGTAACGGTAGTCTACTTTGATTCTTTTAACGCTTTTTTGGAATCAAACGTTTCAAAAATTCAAAAAACACTGCAAAAAAACTTAACATTTTTCGATTTTTTTTTTATTTCAATTCTTTGTTTTATATTCTTTTTTGAAGACGACTGTTGCCTAATATGCCCAATTTACTAAATGTTTACGCGTGTGTATAGTTTTCTCATCAAACCGCGTACAAAAAATGAAGCTAATTTGAAGAACATAATAATTAGAAGAACTTTTATTGGTAGTTTTTATGGATATATACTGTCGTTTTCGATCATAAAAGTTTTTTGATCGTTCGTATAAGTGAAACGATCGTTGTTGATCTGAAGCAGCTGTTGAAAGGTTGACGATGAACCTTCTGGGTTGGCGGTAAAATTAAAGACCAATTCACCCATTCTACACAGCGAAACGCAGAGTACCTGGAAGGGCGGCCATTCAATACTCGAATTGTGCGCATCTTTCGGAATGGTTTCCAAATTAGATCAGCGAAAATTGATTTGCATTTTTCAATTACGACCGTGGCCTGGTTATGAACGAGGACATTTAACAGGCAATCTTGTAAGTCATTGGTGATATAAGCAATTTGCTCCATTTCAAAAGATAAACCCAACCCGCTTTGTATATACCCAACCCTCATAATAGAATTGGAGCTTTCCAGATACGGTTTATCCTCCATTTTCCCTAGAAGTATCCTGGAAGCGAGTATTTTGCTAGCGCGGGAGGAGTAAGCCAGGGACAGAAGACTATGATGCACAGAAAGCTTGATCCGAAACTCCGCAAATCTCTGATTCACCAGTTTGAACAGAAATTTCTTTCTCAAGATTCTTAATTGTTGCGTAAAATCCTTGCGAACTACCACACCATGGCATAAGGCATGACACGATACGGTTTTATCTCCTGGTTCATCTTCTCGTCTTGGTTCATCTCTTCCTGTGGTTCGTACTGCCCTTTGAATATCCATTGAAACCAGGACTGCCCCTTGAATACCTCCTGGTTCATACTGGTTTAAGGTTATCAAATTCCAAAGTGTTTCCAATGGATTATTCAAGGGATTTTCAAGAAATAACTTTTTTTGACAAAAAGGCATATTTGGAGGGGGCGGGGCGGCTTTTTAGATGGATCAGAAAGAAAACAATGTTTTTGAGCACCGCAAGCGCAATAAGTTGTAAAAAAAAACGGAGGCCTTTTTAGAAATTTATTGGGCTTTGTGCATGGAAAGTCCCTTTTAGTTGCGCAAGGCCCCTCCCGCCTAAAACCGCCACTGCTATCAGATCCAACCCGTCACTGCTATCAGAAACAAACCTTGACATTTAACAGTCATAATATGGCAAAATTCAACAGATGAATCAAGTGAACAATTAAACGTCGTTTTCAAGGGATCACTCATGAAATTCGAAGGATTCTTAAGGTATTCAAGTGTGCATTTTAAGTTCAAGGGATATTCAAGGGGCAGTACGAACCAAAGAAGGCGTTCTGACTTCCAAAAGCGCGACTCAGCAGGATAATCGCATATTTCAGGAAATGCAGGAAACATGTCGGTCCATATCTCCCAACAGTCGATGCGTACGTTCCTCAGGGCCAAGTGTTCCAACCTAAACATTCAAAACCCGCGTCAGAAAAGTTTAGCAGCACTAGAAGGACCAACTGTCTGTGCTATGCACTCAAAGTCAAATATAGGCACACTAAACGCAATACATTGACCTTGTTCGACTTCTTTTGAAACAAATGAACCCGTTTTTCCCTCTAAGGTCGAGTTCCTTACTTTTTATTAAACAACTAGACCCGGTTTTTTTTCGTTGAAGCTCCTGTGCAATAATTCTATTAAACTGCATGTATTAGTGCATTAACTTTACTTAATGTACCCTGCAATGATGTATTAGTGCATTAACTTTACTTAATGTACCCTGCAATGATGAAGAAAAAATTGTTCTAAAAATCATGATAAGTTTCAATGGTTTGTTTTTTATGTTCAAGTTTAAAGCTCACCATAATGTGTAAAGGCTCATCTCAGAACGCCCAGCCGGCAGAAGTTCCGCAAATGATAAAGTTCACTTCTCACAAACTGGAAACCTGGAACTGCAAGTTCTTTCTTGAGTACTAGACGGATATTTTTCTCCGTAAATGACGACGACGCCACGATAAAGTGGTATCGTTCTGATACATCAATGATTATCCAATCTAAATCATTGTTTTTTGATCGATCGCCGGATTCATAGGCTATCGGACCAATGCGGACATCAATAAACAACACCGATGACATAACAGTCTCATATTTATTCGAATCAGTATGCCATTTTTGGTTGCCTGATGCAATGTTTCGATTGACATCAAATGTTTCGATAGTATAACAAAAACTAGCGTTTCGGCGGTGCGTCCGCGCCACCCAACCTCGAACAAGCCGGGACACCAGAATTGTTTCAGTTTTTTCATTTTCTGGGTTATACATGTCATGTTTCGAACACCAACACCTAAGAACGTGCGTACGCTGAGGAATGTGCTTACGAGCATTCATCACGTATAATTGAAGTTGCAAAGGAGGCCGCATCTCACGTGGAAGATTCTCAGCACAGGTGAAGCATGGCATCTCTAGAGCGCCCATCGCCATCTGCACATCAAAATAGCGTCGCTGTTGCCTTCATTTTTGAACCCCTTGATGAAAATGTTCGAAGTGGAGTTTGGAGTGAATTGTCCAACATCGACTTATAACCCAGTTAGCGCCCGTCTTCCATCAGGGGCTTAATGAGAGCATCCCGAAATAACGTCTTAAGTTCACCCATATCTGAATGTGTTTGGATGCCGAAGATAAATCCTAGCAGTTTCAAAAAAAGGCCATCCTCTTTCGGTTTCCAGCACGGCTGATCTTCTCTGGTGAAGAAGTCTTCGCCATCTAGAGAGAACGGACGATATTCGCATTCTCCTTGTGCTTTCAGAACCTTCTCAATACGTGCCATCTTCCGAGGGTTTTTAGTTAAAACGTCGCTATAATCATGAACTCGTTTGTTTGGTGATGATAATCCAACATCAACATCCATCTGGAACAGAAAGCAGAAGCATCAAAGATAGTTATAACAGTTAATCCTACCTACCCTAAAATGGCTTTGAAATTGAAACATATTTTCAGATACAGTAGGGGGTGGATATAATGGACTCAAAATTTGCACAAAAAAACTCGTTATGGGAACCCACTCGTTATAAAAAGTTCGTAATAAAAATTCAAATTCTGAGGAAAGTTCGTTATAAAAACTCATATGCTAAAATTGAATTCAAATCTTTCTGAAAATGCTACAAAGTCATACAATCAACATTACAATCAATGTCAGAGAACTATCAAAAAACTTGCACTGCATTCTACAACAATCCAGGAATTTAATTAGATATATCTTAATTTTTTTTTGTTTTTCATCTTTTTTACTCTAATTTTTTCAATGTAATTTTTTTCTTGCATTTAAGCTGAAAACAATTTTCAATGAAGTTGTTCTTAGCTTTTTAAAAATCCGGTCGATTTTTTTTCTCATTGGTTGTAATTTTACCAGCTCGGTTTGTTAAAATTTTACTTTTTCATTTTTTTTTGTCTTTATCGGCTTAAAAAATTCTGCTTAATTAATATCGACTTAGTGGCCTCTTAATGCGTCGTTACTTGTTTTTCCCTGCTTAGTTCCGCAGAAAGCACTTTTTTGACAACTTGGCTTCTGTGTAGCTAGCATTCACAAGCTCTTTGTTGAGTTTTTAATGGTGCAACTAATTTTGTTCTGGATATTTAGGTCTTTTGTTGCTATTTTTATTGACAAAAACGATTTATTGAATTTTTTTTATTTCATAGTCATTACACATGCGAAACAAAAACAAAGAGTTTAAGTACGAACTTTATTTTTTTTCCAACCTAAGTCTTAAAGCAACAATATTTGCTTCATCGAATTGGCTATACAAAATGATTGGCTATTTGTTGCACCGTTACAGCTTATTGATAACATGTGCTTTGACATTCGAGTAGTTATAAGTTTACATAGTTGATGCATTTTTAATTCATCAAGTAAACCGAAGAAAGCTATTTGTTTCAAACAACAACAATAATAAAATCTCGATTTCCGATTTATTACATGCAAAATTGTATCTTTTTGTATTTTGTGCTACTTTTGTTGCATGGAATTGGCAATTTATTAGCATATGTAGCTGCGTTATTGGTGGCTAGTTTTTTTGGGATTTTAAGCTTCTGTGGCTGAATGGTTAGTGCGTGAGACTCAAATTTGCTAGATCGCAGATTTTTGCTAACTGGAGTTTTTGCGAAGCCTCGAGCTTTTGCAAATTTGAGGCGTGTTTTACTTTTTTTTATGTCACTTGATAGAGTTGCTTTTTGGTCGTGTTCTCGTAAGTGTTTGTGAATCGCAGCTTCGCCTCTGTGTTCATATTTATATCGCAAGTGGTGCAAAGGTCAGCTTGGCCTCTGTTTTTTTTGCAATTCTGAAGCTTTTATTAGCCTTTTTTCTACTTGTAATTGAGAAGTGCTGCTTCGGCTCTGCGTTGAAAATGTTTTTTTTTGGTATCAGAACATGTCAAAAAGGGCTTTAATATTTATCAGTTGGCTCCATCTAATTTTTATGGTACGAGCTTTTCCGAAACTTGTGATGCCTGATTTTGCCATAGGCCATTCAATTTTGATTCGTTAGTGAAATTTTCCGTCATCTTTTGCGAATACACAGAAGTAGTATAGATCGACTGTCTGATATAAATGTCATTTTCTATCTCATTTTTGGACTTAAAGACTCAGAAATTTGTCTCATTTTCTGATTCAACATGAGAGTTTACCATGCCTTCAATATCAGGTCGAAATGTTTAGATGTAGATCCGCTCAGTGGTGTTCGGATTGTCATTCCTCCAATTGGCCCTGGCACTTCAGATAATCCAGACGAAGAGGACCGAAGAATGCGGAAAGCCAGTATACAACTGCTGGCTGGAATTCAACCTGTAAGCTGATTTCTAATCTGAACCATCTAAGTCTTTTGGACAGCTTTACAATGGTAGAAAAATCAATTGTTTGAAGGTTTTTGTCTTTTGTCACAATAAGTGTGAAGGAAAGAAGTGATGTATCACTTATTTAGGTCGTGTGGTTTTTGATTTTTTCCCTTTGTTCAAAGGAAGGCAAACTCCACTATTGAACCTTAGAAGTGTAAATGTCACGAAAAATGTAATCGAGTGCTAGTTTCTAAAATGGAATTTAATTTTCAGATTTCCCAACGAAATAAAAACATGCCTATCGGTCCGATTTTCTCAAATAGAGTTAATTCTATCAAAGAAATGTCAATCATAAATTGTACCAGCAATTCAAAGAGCTGTAAGATCATCTGTTTAATTTCTTTGAATTTCGAAAGCCTAGATTTTGTCAAAAAAGACAAATCCGTTTCTTTTCTTTTTAAGTGCGTTCCTTGACTCTTCCAACTGGCCGTTGGTTATGTTTTAAAGCTCTTTTGCTTAATTTTGTATTTTTTTGAATTTTAAAGTTTTCTTTTGTCACTTTTTGCTTGTGCTAGCGAAGTGTAGTTTTGCATCTTTGTAAAGGTATTGGTTACGTATTCACACTAGTAAGGGCTTGTTGTATTACGACGAACCTTCCTTTTTCTAATTTAACTCGCAAATAAAAGTGTTCGTTAAAAGTGTTCACTTATTTCGAATTTTCACTAGCAAAGGAAATTGCACCGCATCGCATCTGTTCTCTGCTTTAGTTTTGGCTAGTGTTTGCTGCCCATTAAGCGTCCGTGGCTGAGTAGTTAGTGTGTGAGACTCTTAATCTCTAGCTCGCAGGTTCGAGTCTCCGACGTAGCGGATAGTTTACTAATTCGAGGCTTATTTTTAAGTTTTGTTATTGCACTTTATTGAGCTGCTTTTTGTCGTGTTTTCACTTGTGTTTGCGAAGCGAAGCTTCGCTTTTGTGTCTTAAAGCTTAATTTAAATACCATTCTTGTCCGGAAAAAACGGCTTTGTTTTTTTTTCATAAAAGGCCGTATGCTTTTTTCGCAATGATTACTGTGATAAGAATGTTCTGCGATGATTGTACAAAAGCCGTGTACGCTTTTTATGTCATTGTTTTTTTTCTTCAGTTGTGTGTTTCTTCAGTTTTTTCTTCAGTAGTTAGTGTGTGAGACTCTTAATCTCTAGGTCGCAGGTTCGAGTCTCCGACGTAGCGGATAGTTTACTAATTCGAGGCTTATTTTTAAGTTTTGTTATTGCACTTTATTGAGCTGCTTTTTGTCGTGTTTTCACTTGTGTTTGCGAAGCGAAGCTTCGCCTTTGTGTCTTAAAGCTTAATTTAAATACCATTCTTGTCCGGAAAAAACGGCTTTGTTTTTTTTTTCATAAAAGGCCGTATTGCTTTTTTCGCAATGATTACTGTGATAAGAATGTTCTGCGATGATTGTACAAAAGCCGTGTACGCTTTTTATGTCATTGTTTTTTTTTCTTCAGTTGAATCCTAGCGAGCCGAGTTTGTACTCCCGTCTTGTGGATAGTGGATACTCTGAGTTCTCAGAAATCATAAACGCCATTCTGGGACGAAGCCCTAGTCGACAACAACAACAGTTGATGCAAGACGGCGCTGCCGGTGGTCCCATGACGCCTTCTACGTCAACTGCTTCGCCATCCTCGTGCCAAACTATGGTTTCGCCTAATTGGAGTGAAGCAGGTAGATCATCTATATTTATATTAGAATCTGTAACAGCCCTTTTAGGTTTGCTCATTTCTTTACCAAATGAATGCAAAGGTGTGGAACCAAAACCGTTATGCTGGTTTGTTATCGGTAATTAGTGCTTATGGAACATTTTTTTGGTTATTTTAAACTTGCGCAGAATTTTTTTTAAAAGTAAATGACTTTTGTTTGAAACAATCAGCTGAATTTTTGACATAATACTGGGTCTAAATCTAAGTGTGAATTATTGCGAACTTTAAAGGAAGCTCCACTGCGCAGCCATCCTCTTCCTCTGGACCGAGGCTCAATGACTCCAACAACAACAGTCTCGCAGTGCCCTCCACGCAGAGGCTGTTCACGCTTTTTCTTACCGTCATTCGAGGAGTTGTTGAACACTCAGACGATCCCTTAACGCGTCTGGCCGCCAATGTATTCTTGTACATCAGCGAAAATTTCAGAGACCGCGTGGAAGGTGCAGGTGGATATGTAAGTCTCATTTTGATTAGTCTCAATTAGTAAAAATAAAATCATGATTCACGAACATAAAAAGCTCGAGTCACGAGTCGGTGGAGCTTAGTTTCAGCGTAAAAAATTGTCCAAGTTGGGTCAGAAATTAGAAATTAATATAAAAGTATTTGTTTTTGTTCACCGAGTTCATTATTTGTAATGTTTCTTTATTTCAATGATTTCATTTTTTCATCAAGTAATGTTTTGGTTTTGAAATTCGTCCAATTATTGTTCTAAATCTGTTTGCTTTTTGCGCTCTCACAAACGAAGAGGGGGTTGTTCTTGTGCTATTTGTGCCTACTGATGTCGCTCGCCGGGTCAACCACATCAGTTTGTGTATTTCAAATAGCCTGAGTTTTTAAAATGTTACAGAACGAAATGAGTGTGACGTATAAGCGTCTTGATAATTTTTTAAGGAAAATTTGTTCGCCTTTAAATTTAATTTTTCGCGGTTTGACTTTTGAAGTCAATTTCTACAGTGCTGATTTAAATAACCCGGACACAACAAACAACATTGGAAAATTCAAACCCGTTTTGCTCGAATTGGGTTAAGATTAGACAAAAATGAAAAGAAAAAAAATGAAGTTGCCGAGGATTTAACCAGAATTAATATGGTGCAATTTTTTTCGGAGTTCTTTACCAAAATTCTACCGCAAAAGTGAGTCGTTTTGGCTTTTTTAATTAATCAAAAATTACGCTGAAACTACCAAATTAATGTATGAAAAAGTTATATCAACAGAAAGCCTCTTACACAGATCAAAGTTCTAGAAACAAAATTTTCCAAAAATAGGTTTAAGAGAATATATTTTATTTTCGGTTGATAGCCAAAAAGGTCATGTTTACTATATAGAAATCAAAATCTTTGCTACTCTTCTGGAATTTTGTTGGGCTGTGTAGAAGGCATTTTTATAAATTTTTTTCGTCCATTAACTTTGTAGTTTCAGCGTATTTCTTGGTTAATTAAACAAAAGCCAAATTGACCCATTTTAAAGGTAAATTATTGGTTGACAACTTTTGTTCTCTTCATTTTTCGTCTAGTCAACTCAATTTCAATAAAAACGTTTGAATTTTCAAATTGTTTTCCCTTTGTCAGGAAAATTTAAATTATCACTGTTCTATCGAACAGTAAGAGTGTAAAGTCACCGAAAAACGTGCATTTCGTCTTGTTTCAAAAACGGACTTTGGTTTGGAATGTTGAAAAAATAATCTAAGATTTCATTCAACTTTTTTTTATTTCCTCGTTCTGCAATTCTCTTCCACAATTAAAGCGCATTTTTTGTTGCCTGTTACTTACTTTATCAGCAAGTGATCGTTGGAATAGTGGTGCAACTTTCGAATCCACTCCAAAAAATTTTATATATCAAAAATTATTTTGATTGTTTTTTTTCTTTAATTCTTTCGGTTGATGTATTTCACATAAATATTTCTCACTTATTTAGGGCTTGAGTCGTTTTGTTTTCAGGGAAGGGTCTGGTCTGAAATTTCGTTTATTTCTTTTTTTTCCACGCTTTGCTTTTAAATTTCCTAAAGATCCAATTTAGAAAAAGTGTTCATCATTTCACAAGGAAAGCTGTGTTATAATATTGAACTTTCTTTTTGTTCCAACCTAAGTCGCAAATATTGTTGCGATGCACTTGTTGCGACAAACTGTGTTCATTTTGAAAGTGTTTATTTTGATCCAGCTATTAGGTATAGCCAATGCTAAAGATGTCAACACAGACTATTATTACACAAGCAATGCTTGTGTTATAATGCGAACTATTTTTTTTTTTACCTAAGTCGCAAATATTGTTGCGATGCAATTGTTGCGACAAAATGTGTTCATTTTTATTAGGTACAGCCAATGCTAAAGATGTCAACACAGACTCTTATTACACAAGCAATGCTTGTGTTATAATGTGAACTATTTTTTTTACCTAAGTTGCAAATATTGTTGCGATGCAATTGTTGCGACAAAATGTGTTCATTTTGATAGTGTTCAATTTGATCTAGCTATTAAGTACAGCCAATGCTAAGGATGTCAAAGGTTTGTTCAACCAGGATAAATTTAGTAAAATTGGCAATCATAATAATTTTTGAAAATCATTTATTTGTCAGTTTTAACGTCATGTATTTTTTCTTCGAAAATGGAATGTTGAAAAAAATAATCTACGATTTCATTCAATTTTTTTTATTTCCTCGCTCTGCAATTCTTTTCCTCAATTAAAGCGCATTTTTTGTTGCCTGTTACTTACTATATCAGCATGTGATCGTTGGAATAGTGGTGCAACTTTCGAATCCACTCCAAAAAGTTTTATATATCAAAAATTATTTTGATTGTTTTTTTCTTTAATAATTTCGGTTGATGTATTTCGTATAAATATTTCTCACTTATTGAGGGCTTGAGTCGTTTTTTTTCGGGGAAGGGTCTGAAATTTTTGTTTATTTCGTTTTTCTCCACGCTTTGCTTTTAAATTTCCTAAAGATCCAATTTAGAAAAAGTGTTCATCATTACACAAGCAAAGCTGTGTTATAATATTGAACTTTCTTTTTGTTCCAAGCTAAGTCGCAAATATTGTTGCGATGCACTTGTTGCGACAAAATGTGTTCATTTTGAAAGTGTTCATTTTGATCCAGCTATTAAGTACTGCCAATGCTAAGGATGTCAACACAGACTATTATTACACAAGCAATGCTTGTGTTATAGTATGAACTATCTTTTTTCCGACCTAAGTCGCAAATATTGTTGCGATGTTGACAAAATGTGTTAATTTTGGAAGTGTTTATTTTGATCCAGCTATAAAGTACAGCCAATGCTAAGGATGTCAACACAGACTATTATTACACATGCAATGCTTGTGTTATAATATGAACTGTTTTTTTTGACCTAAGTCGCAAATATTGTTGCGATGCAATTGTTGCGACGAAAAGTGTTCATTTTGATCTAGCTATTAAGTACAGCCAATGCTAAGGATGTAAACACAGACTATTATTACACTGGCAATGCTTGTGTTATAGTATGAACTATCTTTTTTTTCCGACCTAAGTCGGAAATATTGTTGCGATGCAATTGTTGCGACAAGATGTGTTCATTTTGATAGGGTTCATTTTGATCTAGCTATTAAGTACAGCCAATGCTAAGGATGTCAAAGGTTTGTTCAACAAGGATAAATTTAGAAAAATTGGCAATCATAATAATTTTTGAAAATCATTTATTTGTCAGTTTAAACGTCATTTATTTTTTGTTCGAAAATGGAATGTTGAAAAAAATAATTTAAGATTTCATTCAACTTTTTTTTATTTCCTCGTTCTGCAATTCTCTTCCACAATTAAAGCGCTTTTTTGTTGCTTGTTACTTACTTTATCAGCAAGTGATCGTTGGAATAGTGGTGCAACTTTCGAATCCACTCCAATAAATTTTATATATCAAAAATTATTTTGATTGTTTTTTTTCTTTAATTCTTTCTGTTGATGTGTTTCGCATGAATATTTCTCACTTTTTTAGGGCTTGAGTCGTTTTGTTTTCAGGGAAGGGTCTGGTCTGAAATTTTTTTTTCCACGCTTTGCTTTTAAATTTCCTAAAGATCCAATTTAGAAAAAGTGTTCATCATTACACAAGCAAAGCTGTGTTACATTATTGACCTTTCTTTTTGTTCCAACCTAAGTCGCAAATATTGTTGCGATGCACTTGTTGCGACAAAATGTGTTCATCCATGTGTTCATTTTGATCCAGCTATTAAGTACTGCGAATGCTAAGGATGTCAACACAGACTATTATTACACAAGCAATGCTTGTGTTATAGTATGAACTATCTTTTTTTCCGACCTAAGTCGCAAATATTGTTGCGATGTTGACAAAATGTGTTCATTTTGAAAGTGTTTATTTTGATCCAGCTATTAAGTACTACCAATGCTAAGGATGTCAACACAGACTATTATTACACAGGCAATGCTTGTGTTATAGTATGAACTATCTTTTTTTCCGACCTAAGTCGCAAATATTGTTGCGATGTTGACAAAATGTGTTCATTTTGAAAGTGTTCATTTTGATCCAGCTATTAAGTACTGCCAATGCTAAGGATGTCAATACAGACTATTATTACACAGGCAATGCTTGTGTTATAGTATGAACTTTCTTTTTTTTCCGACCTAAGTCGCAAATATTGTTGCGATGCAATTGTTGCGACAAGATGTGTGCATTTTGATAGGGTTCATTTTGATCTAGCTATTAAGTACAGCCAATGCTAAGGATGTCAAAGGTTTGTTCAACAAGGATAAATTTAGAAAAATTGGCAATCATAATAATTTTTGAAAATCATTTATTTGTCAGTTTTAACGTCATGTATTTTTTGTTCGAAAATGGAATGTTGAAAAAAATAATTTAAGATTTCATTCAACTTTTTTTTAACCTCGTTCTGCAATTCTCTTCCTCAATTAAAGCGCATTTTTTGTTGCCTGTTACTTACTTTATCAGCAAGTGATCGTTGGAATAGTGGTGCAACTTTCGAATCCACTCCAAAAATTTTTATTAATCAAAAATTATTTTGATTGTTTTTTTTCTTTAATTCTTTCGGTTGATGCATTTCGCATAAATATTTCTCACTTATTCAGGGCTTGAGTCGTTTTGTTTTCAGGGAAGTGTCTGTTCTGAAATTTCGTTTACTTCTTTTTTTTCCACGCTTTGCTTTTAAATTTCCTAAAGATCCAATTTAGAAAAAGTGTTCATCATTACACAAGCAAAGCTGTGTTATAATATTGAAATTTCTTTTTTTCCGACCTAAGTCGCAAATATTGTTGCGATGTTGACAAAGTGTGTTCATTTTGAAAGTGATCATTTTGATCTAGCTATTAAGTACAGCCAATGCTAAGGATGTCAAAGGTTTGTTCAACAAGGATAAATTTAGAAAAATTGGCAATCATAATAATTTTTGAAAATCATTTATTTGTCAGTTTTAACGTCATGTATTTTTTCTTCAAAAATGGAATGTTGAAAAAAATAA